AACATATGCAACTTTGCACGCCGAGCTATTTTTGCAACTCCCCGAGTCCTCCCAGAGTCCTCCCAGAGTCCTCCCCGAGTCCTCCCCGAGTCCTCCCAGAGTTTTCCTCGAGAGAGTTATTGACTCGGCGACTCATGTTTCGCTAGGTGAAAATTTAAGCATGTTTGAAAATTTCGGCAAGCTTCCCGTGTAATAATTGCTCACGGCGAGCGTGAAATATCACTCGGGGAGGGAGGCCGATTGCTCTGCGAAATGTATCCAGGTGTATCCAGACCTGCTGGACTTAGAAATTTTGTCTTACTCGGCTTCGTTACTCCTGTATGTGTGAACACCGCATTACCAGTGGCGGTGGGTGGACCCAAATTTGGGTGGGGCTTAGGTTGCTTCCACTTCTTTACCACCAAATGGCAAGCAATCAGAACAAAACAGACCTGGTTTTTCTACACTCACGGCGAGCCACGGCATTTTGAGAAGCATTCAAACGAGGTGAGTCACCTTTGCCTTCCATCTTTTTGTTTAAATTCTTCTGGATGGTGGGGACGAAGCCGTTTCACTTCCAAGTTTCTCTGACTAATTTTCATCTCTAGTGAAAAGGTTTCCTCAAAAGTGGTTTTGTGTAATTAATAACTGTTAAATCTCAGCGGCACACACACAAACATGCGCACAAAGCACTCATACCGTCTATGAACCCTTCATTACCCACCCCACTGCACATTTCCCCTATATGTGTGAACACTGCATAACAATTAGTTACAACATAGACTCTCGCCTTAGGACTTTGCTATTGCTTCAAGCTTGGTTCGCTTGACGGGGTGAACACATTGTATGTCTGACCATCATCAGTAGACCAAAGCAAAGTCAAGGTTGCACAAAATTTGCACATGATTTCCTAGTACATGCCTGTCTGTTTTTGCCCGTATTTTACAGTTATGCTTCAAGAAAACAGAATCGAAAGATCTACCTTCGAAGTTACGCTTCTTCTTCTTCTGTTGTTGTTGTGGTTGTTGTTGTTGTTGTTGTTGTTGTTGTTGTGGTTGTTGTGGTTGTTGTGGTTGTTGTTGTTGTTGTTGTGGTTTCTGTTTTTGTTGTTGTTGTTGTGGTGGTGGTGGTTGTTGTTGTGGTGGTGGTTGTTGTTGTTGTTGTGGTTTCTGTTGTTGTTGTTGTTGTTGTTG